TCGCATTCCGTGGGAGAATAATGTACCCTTCTTCCTGGTTAGCTTTCTGGATCCCGATACGAATGAGCCGGTCTGTGCTTGTCCGCGGGGGCTATTAAAGTCCGCTCTGGGGAAGGCGGAGGCTGCGGGGTATCGTGCCATGGCGGGGGGTAAGCGCTTTCGTCATATTCTTCTTGAGACTCGCTGACGGCTTTCCAGCGGAATATGAGTTCTATCAGTTTCGCGCGCCAGGAACGCACTCCAACCCCGAGCGCAATGCGTCTGCCACGGCCACCTTCCTCAAGGAGAACCCTGTCGAGTCACTTCCCCCGCTGACGGAGGGCATGTTCGGATACAGTCTGACCCGTCCTATCCACAACCAAGACTACTATTATGGAGTGTTCGACGCGTGTGAGCAGTTCAATTGTGAAATCGAGGGTTGGCATACAGAGAGCGGTCCCGGTGTTTATGAGGCGGTAGGTTGCATTGGGTGACGTTATGGTCCCTGCTGACGGTAGCAGGCGTTACAATTCGGAGAGGCCAAAGAGATGGCCGACAAAGCTGGTCTTTTCAAGTGAGTGGCTTCAATCTACAGAAGATCAAACTGACTGTGCCAGATACGTCGTCAAGTCGATCGGCACCAAGCACGGCATCACACCCACCTTTATGGCCAAGCCACGCGAGGGTTTACCCGGAAATAGCGGACACATGCACATCTCACTGGTCTCGAGCGATGGGAAGAATGCGTTCATCCGCGACACACCCGACCCAAACCCGCCATATCCCGATGTGGCTTATCTCTCCGATCTAGGGCGACATTTCCTAGCCGGGGTCCTCACTGGTCTTCCTGATATCATGCCAATGTTTGCACCCACGGTGAACTCTTACAAGCGGCTGGTGGAGAACTTCTGGGCGCCGGTTACGGTCTCCTGGGGACTGGAGCATCGGGCGGCCTCGATTCGGCTTATCACCCCACCTACCGCGAGCGCAAAAGCAACCCGGCTGGAGGTGCGTGTACCTGGGGCTGACGCAAACCCGCATTTTGTTCTAGCAGCAGTTGTTGCATTGGGATGGCGGGGTGTGGAGAAGAAGCTGGAGATTCCGGTTCCGCCGCTCTCCAAGGGCGAGGATATGGGCGGGGCAAGCGATAAGGGAATGCGATTAGCCAAGTCGCTGCGGGAAGCCACGACGGCGTTCATGCGCAAAGACAGTGTCGCACGGGAGGTCTTTGGCGATGCGTTTGTGGAGCATTTTGGGGGCACGCGGGAGCATGAAGTGCGCTTGTGGGAGGAGGCCGTCACGGATTGGTGAGTGGCGGAGCTGGCTGCAGTGAGATGAAGATACTGACTATTGATAGGGAGGTCCGACGCTATATTGAGACGGTGTAACCGGATGGACGGAGCTGCGTGTACAGGCCAGCAGCTGGCAGATTAGAAGCCCGTGTTACCTTGTTATTTTGGTTTCCCTGTTTTGCCCAGACTGGTCCAGATCGGACGGTACAGATTGGCTGCAGACAAATCCGTGGCAACCCGAAGCTGGAGCTGGGGTCGGGAGAGCACAGCGGGAGTTAGAGTTGACAGCGATCACATGCGTTCACATGTGGAAGCGATGACTGGATGTACTTTTGATCCTTGTTTCATAGTAGGCGTATAGCATGTGCGTAGCGAATTGAACGAGCATACATAGAGTGGCTGTGGCATTCTCATCTTGTTCAAATTTTTTGCAGCCATGAGTGAGTCACTGCATCAATGATACAGCTCCACGGCATCAAAAAAAGCACCGTATCACAATCGGGACAAGTCGGTCGAGTGTAGGCGATGACCGGACCGCAGGAAGCTTGCTCCAGGACGGACGGAGGAGAGGAGCAGTACAGGGCAGCAGGATGGCGGCGAACCGCGGTTGGGAGGAAAGGCTCTCGGGCCTGCGGGGAGTTTAGGAGCTTATCAACATCCTCGGTTGACTGCGTGAGTGGCTACTGGAGTAAACAATGCAGTGTGTGTATCTGGGCAGCTGCAACAGAGCCAGCAAGTACCGACCCACGTCGGGAATCATCTCGAGATCTTCCAGGATAGTATCGTTAATATAGTGGTCACTACAGAGAGTATAGTACTCGAATGTATCGAGTAAGAAGTACTCGGCCTGAACGATAAGCCGTAAGTCGGAATCGGTAGCCGGCGTGCCCCGCCCGTTATCGGCCGAATTGCAGCTGGGTTTCCCGCGGAAAAGTCACGTGGAATGGAAGCTCTGGAGCAGCCCTCATTTTGGGTTCAATCCAGCTTATCGGGACTCCCCATGGACCGCGGTTAGTGAAGTGAATGGTGGGACTGACGTAGTCGCTGTGTAGAACATATATTCTCTTGCTCTCCCTCCACATCTCGTAGCTTATAATAGTGCTGGTTGTTCTTGAAGTCTTCTTCGCTGCTTCCTTCTTCATATCATCTCATCTCCAGTACTTCTATCCTGCCGGTCCGGATAGTATCTAGTATACCCTTCCCCTCATATACTTCCCGATAAGATAAAAGACTCTCAATCCATCCTCCACCATGGTGCAAGTCGACACCCAACTCAAGGACGTCGTCATCCTCGGCAATGTGAGCTCGGATGCTCGCAAGATCCTCACCAAGGACGCCTGTGCCTTCCTCGCCATCCTCCACCGCACCTTTAACCCTACTCGCAAGGCCCTCCTCCAGCGTCGCATTGACCGCCAGGCCGAGATCGACAAGGGCCACCTCCCCGACTTCCTGCCCGAGACAAAGCACATTCGTGAGAACGATGCCTGGAAGGGTGCTCCCCCGGCTCCGGGTCTCGTCGACCGCCGTGTGGAAATCACCGGTCCCACAGATCGCAAGATGGTCGTCAACGCGTTGAACTCGGATGTCTGGACATACATGGCTGATTTCGAGGGTATGCCCACTTTCCCACCCCAGATTTTTCCTAAAAATAGCATCTAACAACAAACAGATTCTAGCGCGCCCACCTGGGAAAACATGATCAACGGCCAAGTCAACCTCTACGACGCCATCCGCCGCCAGGTTGACTTCACACAGGGTGGCAAGGAATACAAGCTGCGGACAGACCGCGTGCTCCCCACTCTCATTGCTCGCGCTCGTGGCTGGCACCTCGACGAGAAGCACTTCACTGTCGACGGCACCCCCATCTCCGGCAGTCTGTTCGACTTCGGTCTGTACTTCTACCACAATGCCAAGGAGCTCGTTGCCCGCGGGTTCGGCCCGTACTTTTACCTCCCCAAGATGGAGTCGCACCTCGAGGCGCGTCTGTGGAACGACGTCTTCAACCTGGCTCAGGACTACATTGGCATGCCGCGCGGAACGATCCGTGGTACCGTGCTGATCGAGACCATCTCGGCGGCGTTTGAGATGGATGAGATCATCTACGAGTTGCGCGAACACAGCTCTGGATTGAACTGTGGTCGTTGGGATTACATCTTCTCCTTCATTAAGAAGTTCCGCAAGCACCCCAACTTTGTGCTTCCGGATCGTTCGGACGTTACTATGACCGTGCCGTTTATGGATGCGTATGTGAAGTTGTTGATTAAGACTTGCCACCGCAGAGGAGTGCATGCTATGGTAGGTCCCCCCCCCTAAAATTCGAGGTGTTATATGAACATGGTATTAATTATATTGCAGGGAGGCATGGCCGCTCAAATCCCCATCAAGAACGACCCCACCGCCAACGACAAGGCCATGGAGAGTGTGCGTGCCGACAAGCTGCGTGAAGTGCGCGCCGGCCACGACGGCACCTGGGTTGCCCACCCTGCTCTGGCCTCCATCGCCTCGGAGATCTTCAACACCTACATGCCCACCCCCAACCAGCTGTTCGTCCGTCGTGAGGACGTCCACATCACCGCTAACGATCTCCTGAACACCAACGTCCCCGGCAAGATCACCGAGGACGGCATCCGCAAGAACCTGAACATCGGTCTGTCCTACATGGAGGGATGGCTCCGCGGTGTGGGCTGCATTCCCATCAACTTCCTGATGGTACGCCCCGATCCCTTCCCTTTTCTCACGCACAATATAGAATGTATACTAACAAAGAAACAGGAGGACGCCGCTACCGCTGAAGTCTCCCGCAGTCAGCTCTGGCAATGGACACACCACGGCATCACCACCTCCGACGGCAAGAAGGTTGACAAGGCGTACGCTCTGCGTCTCCTGCAAGAGCAGGCTGACAGTCTGGCCGCCAAGGGTCCCCAGGGCAACAAGTTCCAGCTCGCGGCGCGGTACTTTGCCGGCCAGGTGACGGGCGAGGACTATGCCGATTTCCTGACGAGTTTGTTGTACAATGAGATTTCGTCGGCGGGCAAGGCCGAGCCGGCTGCTAAGCTGTGAGCTGAGTAGCTAGCTAGCTTGCTTGCAATTGATTTCGAACGTCATGGTGTTACGATATGTTTATGGCATGGGTTTTAATTGTTCATATTACTAGGATGGATGGGTTTGATAGGCTGGACTTATTATCATTGTTATTATTATCATTGCTCTTGCGATTGTTACTATGGCATTACACATATTGAATGGATGAATGCATTTCCTCTAGGATTATCAGATTATTATCAACGCTTACATTGAATTACTTCACATATCCTGGGACCGAGATACAACTATTAATAGTGTAGCGTTGAGTCCTATTCGGTCCAGCTGTTGACATGCTAGTACTTATGGTCTATAGACCAACTTACTTGAAGAGGATATATACGGACTTCATCGGTATCGATTAACATAAGTTACTGCTACTTTATAATTGTTATATTACATGTCCTGTCTTTCTAATATCTCAGTTATCAAGCCAGAGTCATTGCATTCATGAATGCAGCGAGATATGTAGAACTGATTAATACTAATGAGAGGAGGAGAAAATGGAGTTTAGCTGGATCCATTCGTGTGACAACAACTGAGAGCAAGAGACTAATACTGAGTGCAATTTATGACCAAAACATAGGTGAACTCCTACAGATTAACTTGAGAATTAGATATCGCATCAAATAGTATCACCCTCTACCTCTACGCCCACCACAGCGCTGTCTCCAAATATCCGCTAAGATCAGCATCCCCATCGAGCATTGCCTGGACATTCCACCTGATGTGGTACTCCCAATGATCCCGGTATTTACCAGGTAAGAAAGCCATTTTATCACCACAGGCGTTGAGGATCTGGGCTAGACGGTAGTGGCAGTCGAGGAGATTCTTGCTCGGTAGTTCCAGATGTTCTGGACCAGGCGCCGCTACTGACTTTAACTCGATCTCATCGGGTATCAGTAGGCTAGTTGGACACGCGCTGAATCGTACGGTTTTGTAGACGTTTGGGCGGTCCTATTTGATCGGGGGTATCAATATAATGAAGTAGCAGTAATCATAATAATAATGATGTAAGATTTGAGACTTACTGTTGCTTTGAAAGCGAGAGCGAAACGACTGAATACTAGATTTGTTGGTAGATGTATCAAGAAGCTGTTTGATAGGCTGTTTACCAGGGCATTGATGCCACCGGCCCCCATTCGAGCTTGGTGAATGGCAGGGAAGTAGCGGCATAGGGTTTCCCAGACGGTGGTCATCTGTATTTCAGTGATGTTATTATTGGTATTATTGGCAGACAATCAATAGATATAAGGGGAACTCACTGCAGATTTATTCCAGTAGGAAATAAAATACGGCATGATGTGCGCTACCTGCACATGGGTACTTTCAAAGCCCTCTGGTCTGCCTTTCTCGGAATACGTTTCCACATCCATAGCCCCTGTAACGACGCAGCAGGAGCCATCACGCTTCAGACAATCTTCCTGTGTGCCTTGCTGGTAATTTCCCAAGGGACTAAGCTGCTCTTGGGGTGTTCTGACTTGGCTTGCTTCTGACTGGAGTATGGCTTGTCTTGTCTGTCAGTGGTCCTGGTTCTGGTATCCTCTCAAGTGATCACTTACCCGGCCAGGCTAGGATGGTGAGAATATTGAAGAAGATCTCATGAAGCTTATGAACAGTCGTTGCATTTAAGATGTCACTAGCGAGGGCTTCTTTCCCGCCGTCCGGTAGCCATTGGAGAGATGCTTCTAGTGTTGCTTTCAGCTTGGTCTGGTTGGAGTAGCGGGAGATGCGCTCTCTGGCTTTTTCGATGTCTGGGGACATTCCGGAGATCTTGCTGCTGCGCAGAGGAAATGCAAGCGGTGGATTGAAAGGTTGGAAGGGCTTGGAGCGTTTGAATGGGAGAAGGTGACAATTATTTCCTTGGAAAGTGCCATGGTGGTCGATTGTGTTGATGTTCGAGTAGACTTTGTGTAACACGTAAGTATGATGCGAGCCCAATTAGGCAGCCGCGGAGTTAACCACATTATACCTTGGACAAAGAAGGGAGATGGCATTGTCTTGCCTGTATTCCAACAACATTCTCATCACAGAGTAATCTTCTGTATGGATGCTAATCGTAGTCAAGATGCTCGTGCATCGATGCTACGGAGATCTTCTATTGTTTGCAAGCTTACCTGATTTACAGTTCCGCAATGCTCGTATTCAACGATCAAGATGCTAATATCCAAATCGTCCTATGTTTCTCTAAGGAGCTTGGAGTTGGTGAATGCAAGCAGCTCACCAGCAGCTTTGATCTCTCGGCAAACACCGAGAAGTAAGTGATCATGAAGAGTCACTCGTTGCATCCGCTAAATTTTGGTATAAATGCTTCTCTCTCCACTTATACACCAACCGTTTATACTGGTCAAGTTACAGAAGACCGCGAGACGAACTCTTGCTACAGTTATCAGTATCACATTCTCCTGCCTGACTGATTTCAACAAAATCTAAACCCCAGTACTACAGACATGACACCATCTCAGTGCACCAACTGCGGTCGTTTCAAGGTATGGTCAGATCACTTCACCTGTGTATTCTCGTTCGATTCGTGAACTAACTACAATGTCAGTTCAAATATAGTGACTGCGCTCATTGTATCAAGCAGGGCATCGACTGCGTGGACCCTCCAGGTGGATATAAGCCAGGCAGACGACAGAGGCCTTGCGCTGAGCAGAGCAGCAGCAATATCTTGTCGACTCCAGCCCCAGCTAATTCCATAAACCACCCTTCTGCTTCTTATCCCTCTTCCCCAATCATCCAAAAATCAATAATCGCCCAAACACCCTCCGGGCGCGAGCCGGAAGAACAGCCTGAAGCTCTACTATATTCCCCGTGGGATCCAGAAAGTGCTACGAAGTCTCCAGTCCAGGCTCGCACTTCATTTCAGTCAAATGCATACAGCGAGTACTCAACGGAGTATCTCCATTCCAGCGGACCAGCTGCCGGCCCAGACTCCAATTACCTGCACGGCTATCATAGTGGACCCTTTCCAGGGTATGCCGAATGCATCAATGAGTCTCGCGAGAAAGCAGTAGAGCCTACAAATCCGGACCCTCAAAACGCGGCGGACCCTACTGGAGCCAATGACATCTTAAGCTGCGCAGGATTTGCTTACATGCTTGAGCATTACACCAAGAACAAGCCAGAAGTGGACATAATAATGAGAACGACGGAACACTCCCTTAACGTAGTAGGTAGCTTTCTGGAAGCGGAGGAGGAAAATCGCAGTCTAACCCTTTTAATGCTGACTTATACGACCCTTGCCCACACTGTGACCCTTTTCGAGAGCGTTGTAGCCCAGATGCCTCTTCCAGTCTTCGAAGCGACAAGTGCCTCGACCGGTGGCATGCCAGCGTTAAAGTATAGGTTGCAAGAAGAAACCAACAAGCTGGCAGACGATCTGCGGGAACAGATCGACCAATGTTATCAGCTGGTGGGGATTCTAAACACTAGGCTAATCAATCCAAGTGATCCTATCAGCCCCTATCGTCGACTGACATATGCTCTCCAAACCAAACTGCAATCACTTGCGGGAAGGAGTCTAACATTCGGATCAGCACGGTCTGATTGCTGTACGAATTAGACAGGATGGTTTGTCAAGCGCAGTCGAGAGCATTACGATAGAGGGATACGGATACTACTTGGTTTCTCACGAATCCTCTTGCCATGTTAAATGCGTGATACATTATCATACTTCATCCTAACGAAAATCATTCCTATCACGAACCACCATATAACCGAATAAACAAAATAAATGCATGCATTTTCAATAACAACAAACAAACAAACCAATGAACAACCAGTAACTACCACCACCACCACACCACCACACCATCCTCGTCCATCCCAACCCTTATACAAACTGACTAATCCCCTTTTCGAACCCTAACCCCCCCAAACCCTCCAAAACAAAACAAAGATCAAATATACTCCCAAGCCCCCACACTCGCATTCCTCCCCCACGCCCTGGCCCCAAACCCAAGACACTCATTAACATTCCCCCCCGGCACAGTCGCATTCTTCCAATTGACATACACAATCCACCTACCGCCACCCGCCCCCGGAGTCGCAGACGGACTCACCGACGGACTCACATACGACGAAGAAGGCGTCCCAGAATGCTTGCTCGGCGTAGGCGTTGAACTCGGCTTCGGCGTACTCGACGACCCACCAGGTACACTACTACTACTACTTCCTCCAGCTCCGCCTTTCACAGGACAAGCTATGAACCCACCCGGAGAGCCCGTGTAATTCCAGCTTCCGTAGGGCGTGCCGGGCATGTAGCTGAATGGGCCGGTTGAGGAACCTGGGGGCATGTAGGCTGAGTGTGGGGCTGTGAAGGAGAGGGCGCCGGTTGAGAGGATGTAGATTTGTTGGCCACCGGGGACGGAGACGGACTGTATGGATGAGGGGTGTTAGTTGGTGGTTGGATTGGGGGATGGGGGATGAAGGGGATAAGAGGGGAGAAACGTACCAGGCCGTTATCACCGACGATTATAGTCTCGTTTCCTGGGGGACATTCGCCTTCGGAGGCTACGCCAGGTGGACAGTAGGAGGAGGTGCGGCCGCCGAGGTAGAAGCGGCCAGAGAAGATGGTTAGGGCGAGGTTGTTGATTGGGGAGTTGGAGCGGTAGGCGGTTACGGTGAAGGAGGAGGTGGAGGAGGATGATGATTCTTGGGTGTAGGAGGGTGTGGGGAGGAGGGTGAGAGTGGTTAGGAGGAGGGTTAGCAGGTTCATGGTTTGGTTCTTCGTTCAGTGTTTTTGGGAGTGGGATGGAGTGTAGTGTGATGTGTAGTAGATGAAGAAATTGTAGTATGGGCTGAGATAGGGCTTTTTTATACGAGTATCTATGGTAGTAGTGTTGATGTGACCGTCATTGAAGTCATCCGGAGAAGTATTCCACTGGGTTGGTGTTGCAGTTGTGCTGGGTAGGGTTGGGTCGGAAGGTATTCCTGCAGCGGGGATGTACTTGGTGTTGCGGAGATGGATATGAGCTCATGGTTATGTTGAGCGGTAGAAGAGATTCAATAACTTACTGTAGGTGTTGTTGGGACAGTGGGAGAAAATCTAATTAGCATAGCTGCTGATCTTCCATGTGATACTGGTTGATATGGTGGAATATTTTTGTTCTTACGGAAACCAATGCGCTTCAAAACCTATTTGCCTCATTAAAAAGGGGTGAACCGGCTTTTACCTTATCTATCACTTCTCTACCCACTTCCAAAGCATACTGAAATCAATTCTTACTACTGGCAATCTGGTCTGAACGGAACGCCACAACAAGCAGAGCAAGCAAAACGACACTGTCTAAACATCCAATCCTCCGTATCTTATCCCAGTTCTCTCGGGTCAGCCACACAGAAAATACAGCCTGCGCTCAAGACAGTCCGGACTTACCTTGTATACTCTCGGGTGTCATATTCCCAGAACGCTTAGTTCAATTCACAGTCACCTTGCATATGGCCCACTTCTCCACCTATAAAAGAACATCCCAGTTAGCACCATTCACAGTTTCTCTCATCAGTCAACTCACAAGAATAGCAGACAACGTCTCTCGGACATTTGGAGATTTTATGACCTGTACGATTGCCTGACAAGGTCAGTCAGCGTCAGCTCACTTATTATCTGCCCCTCCACTTATACGAACATTTACCACAGCGCTCTTCACATTGATACTCCCAATGGCTATACCACCCACAGTTACGACACTTGCCTTGCCTCTGCCGGCGAGCGATAGCTTTGTTCATGTCTCTGCGAGTCTTGGAGAGATCCCTCCTACTAGGAGGGGGGGTAATAGCCGGCGGCTTCTGTGTCTTATACGCCCTGCTAAATCTCTGATCTCTTCCTTGGCTGTTGATCTCGGAGGAAGAAAGAGATCGGAGCTGCCGTCCGTGACCCCTCACCGTCGGGGTATCAGCAGTAGTAGAGTTGGTATCCACATCCATCGGCGTATGCACATGCATGCCGCTGCTGCTGCTGCCGCCAGCCTGACTCATTCTAGACATCCACACATTCATTTAGCCCCATTTCACCCCAGCATATACTTCTCTCCGATATTAAGATAACAAAAACAAAGCACCAGATGGGAAAAGGTAAATGAGAAACGAAAGTGTCTAAAGAGAAAGCCCTCAACCCACATAAGCCTCTCACAAGATTCCATATGATCGATGGCTTCCACAACATCCTCAAACTGATCCCGCAACTTTCTGTGTACCCGATCACGGCAATAGCCCTTCATTGACTTCAGGAAAAACCGCACTCCAGTTTGACTATTACGGTAGGCTTCCTTGATCTCTTGCATACTGGCATGTAACTCCCGAACGCTCTTCTCCAATTTGTTGAACAGCTCCGTCTTTGTACTATTTTCGATGCCGGGAGAGCTAACTCTCCTTTCGAGTTGATCCAGCATTTCAGTCAAACCACGGATTACATCCTCCATCGCGTCCTTATTCTGAAGAAGCTTCTTGATCGAGTCGCGGTTCTTCATTCTTTCCCGGAGGATATGGATTATGGGGGCTTGTACAAAGCCCCAGATTGAGGAAGTGAGGTCCATGGTTAGATGTGATGAGTTTCGATAGCAAGAATACTGTAACAAGTGTGCAAAGAAGAGAGAAGAATTAAGCCAAGTATGAAATCACAATGGAAGTGGGAAAGACACAATGAAATGGTCAAAAGAGAAGAACTGAGAAAGCCCCGGGGGGTCAATTTATGCCCTACTCTACTCTGTACAGACTGCACCCCTTTCCCTCCCTCACAAAACGCGTCTTTCACGCGTCTTCACGCACACTCCTCGCCTCACATGGCACACATGAGAAAGCGATGGAAACCTGATGAAGAGACCAATCAGTTCATGTAGTTACAACAGGGGGGAGGTACTATTGAACGAATCATACCAGGACACACCGTTGGATTCATGCAGCGCAGTACTTACTAGTCCGAAAAGGGAAAGAAAAAGGTGAGAGGGCTGCTAAGTTGCGGGCAGTTGGCGCGCTCACCATGATGATGGTGCGCGTTGCACTGCCCCGCAGCCCATGGTGAGGCTTGGGTAGAGTAGGTGGTAGTGCTTTCTCGCGCTTGTCATTTCTCGCGCTTGTCATGGCAGTTGCGCTGTGTTTGTGTCGTAAGACGGTGGAGTATCCGTCGGTGGCCTTGTGTGAGGGCTGTCTTATTGCGTTGATTTTAGACTGTTAGATGTTGGTTGTGATAAGGAAAGTGGTATCTTCGTTGATAGGGTGTAATAATACTTTTCGGTGTATTCCCTTGCTCGTTCACTTTGTCCTTTCCAGGTACCCCGCTTACTGACGATGGTTCACCATGAAGGGAAAAACGAGGTAGCAGTAAGCCAAAAGCCTGGAATACAACTATAAGCGCATCTGGGATCTGCAGGTTCCTTCAAAATCATTGATAGCAATTCTATATGTACATGAAAATCTAATAATACTCAAATCTAATAGTATCCTCGCAACGGGAGATCTCTCGAACTCTGCCCTACCCAGATCTCAAAATCTCCGTCCGGCATCACCCAGTTCTGTTGCCGCACACTCCAATAGCTCAGATCCTTCCGGCTGAGACTCATCGACACTGTCTGCGCTTCACCTGGCTCCAGGGCCACCTTGGTAAAGTTCCGCAGCACACGCACCGGAAAGTCGATCTTCTCCGGCACCCGCTCGATCTTTGTCTTGCTAGAGCTCCGATCGTGCACCTCCACCCAGTCGCCCTCCTCGCTCACCTCCTCTGGGAAGGAGACATACATCTGCACTACGGTCTGACCAGACCGGGGTCCCATGTTGCGGACCTGCACTTCCACGTTCGCCATCTCCTCGAACAGAGACGGGTTGCCGCCCAAGCCACCGCCGGCTTGTGATGGTGTCCGCGGCTTGTCGTAGCCGATCGGGTAGTGTGTGTAGTTTGCGGGATCAGTGCCATCTAGAGATGGCAGGTAGGGATAGATATATTTGCTAATAACGTTGAATCCTGGTGGGAAGAAGAATGATTCGTTGCGCGGCGGTTCAAGATCGTACGATGGGGGAGAAATCATGGCTGGAGGCCTCGACGCAGGCAGCCGCGACTTCGACTGCAAGGCGTTCACCTGCAGTTCGGCCAACTCGAACGTAGCGTAAGACAACCCATAGCCAAACTCGAATCGTGGAGTGATATTGTGACGGTCGAAATAACGGTGGTCAATGTACAGACCATCTGTAAAGTCCACCTGGGGGACCGGTGCATTGGGCTCGTACAGCACTTGCGCTCCCGGCCCGTAGTCGGCGAGCCTCTTACCCACTGTGTACGGCAGCCGGCCGCTGGCATCGACCTCCCCGAAAAGCACGTCCACCAGTGCGTTGCCACTCTCCTGCCCGGGCAGATGCGCGAACAGAACTGCGGCGACCCCTGGAAGGTCAATCCACGATTCGACGACTACTGGGCCCACGGCGTGCACCACCACCACGGTCGGCCCGCCACAGTTGTTAGCTACCGTCCTGATCAGCGAGTCGCCGCCCTTCTGCAGGAAGAGGTTGCTGCGGTCGCCGTTGATGCCGCCCGAAGAGATGTATCCCTCGCCGGAGTCAGCGTTCGCAAACACCAGACATAGATCTCGGTCGGCAGCATCGGCGGGCATCACGGCATTCCGCATGTACGAGTGCATGTCGATCTCGGTGGCCCAGGCAGTATTCAGAGCGTCAATAGGACTGATCAGGTAGGGAAACTCTACCGTGCCACTACCCCAGCCCATGGCCAGAGTACCCTGGTTGCAGCCCCGGTCTGGGCAGGCGTTGGGTCCCCCGGCCGGTCCGGCGTCGTCGCCATACACACCCACCCGATAGGGACCACCGGATGGGCTCACTGGCCGGCGGGACAAGGGCAGTGTGTTCTGGTCATTCTTCACCATCACGATGCCTTCGGCCGCCACCTTGCGAGCAATGATAGAGTGTGCATTCTCGCCTTCGCCCTGAGCATTGATAAACCGATTGACAACACCGTAGGCCTCGTCATCCGGCGACCCTTGGTGCAGCCATCCGACCTCATCGTTGGTCCACGAGGAAAAGGTAGGCCCGCCATCACCGTCCGGAGCAGGCCGAGGCCACAAGTCCTGGCCAAGATGGTACCAGGAGGCCACAATGCGGGTCACCATGTCGTTCAACCGGTCCATCGGGACAGAGGTGTTCAACACTGCGCGGGTAAGCTCTGGTCCCCACAAGGACCTTCCGTCCGCCCAGTGGAGACCATCACCCGGCATACTCATGTCCAGACCCCCTAGGGCGCTGTTGATACCTGACCGCTGGGCCAACCAGTCCGACTGCACGAATCCCTGGAAGCCCATCTCGTCCTTCAGAATACCATTCAGCAGCTTGCTGTTCTCGCAAGCATGGCTGTTGTTCACCATCTGGTACGCACACATGACGCTGGCCACATCAGCCCGGATACTCTCGGCAAACGGCCAGGCAAACACCTCGTGCAAAGCACGGTCGCCGACGTTGGACGACATGGCTGAGGGGATTCCCCACTCATTTGGCTGCCGAAAATGTTCTTGCTCGTTCAAAATGTAATGTTTGGCAGTGGCCATGACGCCGTTGCTCTGGATGCCGCGAATGGTCTCCGCCGCGGCGACACCCTGCAGCACAGGGTCCGAGCCAAACGACTCCCAATTGCGACCGCCCGCTGGCATCATGCCGAGGGAGCCCATCGACGGGCCCAGCAACACGTTGACGCCCTTTATGCGAGCCTCCTCTCCCAGAGCCGCACCGCGCTGTCGGATCAGATCTCGGTTCCAGGTCGCTCCTGTTGTAATACCGGCAGGGAAGGCAGAGATGAGGTCGGCGTAACGCAATCCGAGGGGACCGTCCTGTAGACACAGCGAGGGAAACTTGACCAGATCGGCGGAGCCTGAGCAGTTAGTAACCATCATCGGTAGTCTTCAACCAGACATACCTGTATTCCCGACACAAAGCCCCATTTGCCATCCAATGCCGGTAGTGATGTTGATCTTCTCGATGAGGGTCATCCGGCTGACTAGTGCCTCCGCCTTCCTATAATCCTCCGCCCATTCTTCGAGCGCGCCTCCCTTGGGGGTAGGAAACCAAGACTCCGCCGGCGTCATATCCTACAGACATCAGTATCACACCCACTAAGTCAAGTATACCAAACGAACCCGTTCAAACTCATCTTCCGACCAAGCCAGATTCAAGAATGCCCAGACCATCATACCCAGTGCGACGAAAATAACGACCAGCGTCCGCCACAGCCATCGAGAATAATAGTATGCCCGCCATCCGGTGCGGGGAGTATGTCTCCGGAACGACGAGGTTCTGCGGTGATGTCCCTTCTTCTTCTTCACGGTGTAGTCTCCATCGTCGCTGTCATCGGTGAGCTCGTACTGTCTCGCCGCCGCCAATAGCTCTTGTTCCGCCTCGGTAATGCTATCCAGGTATGCTTCGACATCGGTGGAGCGGCGGTTAGCGTAGGCGGAGGCCTCGTTGGACCTCTTGGCGTTGTCAACGCGGCGGAGCTTTATGCGGGAGTTCTCATCGAGGTCTGGATCGGAGAGGTCGGAGAGGGTAAAGGTTTCGGAGTAGCGGCGGTCATCGTGGACCTCTTCGGGGATGGATTCATGTAGGGGGGTGTAGCGTTGTTGCTGGGAGGATTTCCTGCCGGAGGAAGAGTTGTCCCGAAAGGGGAGCGGCATGGTGCCTTACGGGGATAGGAGCATTGGAATAGATTCCAGATTCGAGAGGAAGCAAGGGGAGAAAGAAAGAAAAAGAAGAAGGGACCAGGCCAGGAGGGAGAAAGGGGAGATTGCGATGGCGAGAGAGTGGATGGGGATGGCCAGACGTGGAGAAAGCTGGGCGCAAAGAGTAATGATACGAGCCATCATTTCAAGGCACCCGCCCCGCGGTTGGCCAATCACGATGGCGTCCATCTGATGGCTTACGACGTTGCGGGCCGATCATGATCTGGACCGTACTTTTGCTGGGACCCTGACTTGGAACTATACTGAGCAGAATGTTGACGCCAATAGATACATTGAAGTAAACATATAGCTAGTAGTGGTTACAATTTGCTCATTGAGTGAGAGTCGCCTCCGCCGCCTCCATGTGTCGCGCCGTCTGTCCCCGGAAGGACCGGCGTCCCCGCAACACCCAATCCAGGGCAATCAGCACTGCAACTACCCCATATACTGCAGAAACATAGTTCATATCTAGTAGTAGTCGTCGAGTTAGTAGTTATTTCAAGGCAAATGGATAAGGGAGTGTTGCTCGGGGGTGGCTTACTGCCCGTGGTAACCGGATATACCGAAGGGAAGGAATATATAACCAGGCAGAACAAGGTCCATGCTAGAACCACAATATTACACACCAAGCCGAGTCTCCCCAGCCAGAAGGGACCGTGCTTGAGATTATTCCGACCACGCCACAGCAAGCAGACAATCGGCACCACGTACGAGGCATAGAGTAACACAATGCACGCAGTGACCATGCTGTTGAAGGCGGTCGACGAACCAAGGTACAGCAGCCCCAGAAGACCCACTATGAAGCAGCTCACGCTGTGCGCGTTTAG